TTATTGTTGGTAAAGAACATTTGAGAAGGCAGTGACTTTACATGATTCAGATGGCGCATTATGAGCTGCTCACAGGTTAATGTTATAATGTCACTTAACTGCACCTAATAACTAATTTACTTAGCATCGATTCTCAAACCTCTTTAATGTGTTAGAGAGATAATTTAACTTCATCTGGACTTTAGTGAAAGATTGTCAGTCCTAGTGTATGAAATGTGTCTACTTTTATGCTTGCATTACCTGAAGTTACTATGTAAGCAAATTCAAGGAACACATTTCTTTTTGAACTTAACTAGCCACACATAATTATTGTTAATTTGAACAAATTATTTAAACATTATTTGGAATGACATCATCTTGCCAAATCAAGGGAAGATCTAGTCAGTATTATATGCACCTACTAATTCTGTCAAGTGTCAAATTCTTGTTGGAGCCATTTCAATTACACGTGATGTGTCTACCGTTTAAAATTAACATAACTGTTTGTATTTGGGTTTGGATATTTTTTAAGATGTTTATTGCTTGAGCCCTCTGATATGATGGCGTATATCCCTGATTTATTTTCATATTTTCTGTGTTAGCATTATTTGGCTTTTAATACCTGAGCTGTATGGCCAACATATACATTATAGTCTTGTCATCACAGCTTTCAATTTCTTAAATTTTCTCATATGCACAAGACCTTGAAACTATTGTGTTGCAGTACCCAACTACAATCATTGGTTATGGAATGTACATGAAATCAGGACCTAGTTTTGTTGTATTAATATTCTAATAATGACTGTGCAGCTAATATTAAATGGCTCCAGATTGAGTCGTCATGGAACACACAATTTATGTCCTTTGCCCATTTATATAAAAGATATAAACATCACAAATACTTTAAATTAAAATTCTTTGTTTACCCTTCATAATACTATTCATTTTATAACACTATGTATATATTTTTGAGTTTTAATATGTATAGAATTATTTTAACTTTTGAAGGGTTTGGAAAGTTGTATCTGAATTTTTATAAATATTTTCAGAACTTGTATAGTTCATTTAAAGATTTTTGCTAAACAATAAACATTTTCTCAGAATTATTCTTTTCCATTACAGTGAATGTGGTGGATCATAATTACAAGGATCATTGTATTTACTTCCAAGTGTATCAATTCTGTGAGAAATGTGAAGAGTGTATAAAACAATATTTTTCTTTTTATTTGTATTTTTTTTATATATATATATATATAGTGACATTTAGTTAGCATTTCAAGTGTCTTGAAAGTTTTATATGAGATCATGTTACTTTGTTTTTGTGTGTATGAAACGAGACCTTTTTAGTCCATTAATATATTGCAGGTATGTAACAATGTAGAAACATGATGTGTGGGAGGAATGGGGCTATGTCCTCTAACAAAAAATTAACTGACTAAATGAGTTTCAATATTGCTGCAAAACCAGTTGTGAGAAAATAATTAAAACATAAAGAATCCTTAATGAATCTAAATAAAATTCCCACAAGGTAGATGAATGTAATGTTTTGTATACAAAAATGTAATATGATTAAAATAGGAATAGTTTATTAATTGTATGTAAACTCAGTATTGATTTGAAGAATAAAATATAATTGAAGAATTTGTGCAGGATATAACATTAGCAATTGTATCTCTTAAATAAAGATATGTGTTATAATAAATTAACCATCACCTTGAGATTCCCTTAATTTTAGGCTTTATTGTTTGTTTGTGTAGCATATTACATACTTAGTCTAAATGCAAAGAATAACTTTCCCTTGGTTGCTGCAAGCTTGGATGTGTAATGGTTAAGTTTTACTTTTTGTGAATGCTGGTAGTTTGTAAATATTTTTGTGCACTATGAAATCTCATGGCAACAAACTCCAGTTGACCTCCGGAATAAATCAAGGTCATATCAGAAGTCAGGAGCACATTTATTGTACACTGAAACAAGTGTACATGAAAGAAAACAGTAGAGGTACTTGATGTGTCACTCTTTTACAGAATTTCCAGAATAATCCAAACATTTCTGTTATCACTGCATGAGCTTAGAGGTGACTGTGGTAAAGTCCGTTTCAGTACCTTACAGATAGATGTGCGCACTGGTTTGTGTGTCATCATCTGTCAAGGCCTCAGATGGGTGGTAGTCTGCGGTGGCCAAGTCTGCACTGTGTGGTAGTTGCGGCAGCGTTTACCAGCCATTCATTCCAGTTGTCTCTAATGTCAAACGTGCGTTGTGAATTGTCATGTTGAAGAATGAGTCTCTTATTGGGTAATGGTCATGAAGTGCACATTGCAAGCACAAAAGACATCACTAAAACAATTATGTCTACAAACTTTACCAGCTTTCAATTTCTTAAATTTTCTCATATGCACAAGACCTTGAAACTATTGTGTTGCAGTACCCAACTACAATCATTGGTTATGGAATGTACATGAAATCAGGACCTAGTTTTGTTGTATTAATATTCTAATAATGACTGTGCAGCTAATATTAAATGGCTCCAGATTGAGTCGTCATGGAACACACAATTTATGTCCTTTGCCCATTTATATAAAAGATATAAACATCACAAATACTTTAAATTAAAATTCTTTGTTTACCCTTCATAATACTATTCATTTTATAACACTATGTATATATTTTTGAGTTTTAATATGTATAGAATTATTTTAACTTTTGAAGGGTTTGGAAAGTTGTATCTGAATTTTTATAAATATTTTCAGAACTTGTATAGTTCATTTAAAGATTTTTGCTAAACAATAAACATTTTCTCAGAATTATTCTTTTCCATTACAGTGAATGTGGTGGATCATAATTACAAGGATCATTGTATTTACTTCCAAGTGTATCAATTCTGTGAGAAATGTGAAGAGTGTATAAAACAATATTTTTCTTTTTATTTGTATTTTTTTTATATATATATATATATAGTGACATTTAGTTAGCATTTCAAGTGTCTTGAAAGTTTTATATGAGATCATGTTACTTTGTTTTTGTGTGTATGAAACGAGACCTTTTTAGTCCATTAATATATTGCAGGTATGTAACAATGTAGAAACATGATGTGTGGGAGGAATGGGGCTATGTCCTCTAACAAAAAATTAACTGACTAAATGAGTTTCAATATTGCTGCAAAACCAGTTGTGAGAAAATAATTAAAACATAAAGAATCCTTAATGAATCTAAATAAAATTCCCACAAGGTAGATGAATGTAATGTTTTGTATACAAAAATGTAATATGATTAAAATAGGAATAGTTTATTAATTGTATGTAAACTCAGTATTGATTTGAAGAATAAAATATAATTGAAGAATTTGTGCAGGATATAACATTAGCAATTGTATCTCTTAAATAAAGATATGTGTTATAATAAATTAACCATCACCTTGAGATTCCCTTAATTTTAGGCTTTATTGTTTGTTTGTGTAGCATATTACATACTTAGTCTAAATGCAAAGAATAACTTTCCCTTGGTTGCTGCAAGCTTGGATGTGTAATGGTTAAGTTTTACTTTTTGTGAATGCTGGTAGTTTGTAAATATTTTTGTGCACTATGAAATCTCATGGCAACAAACTCCAGTTGACCTCCGGAATAAATCAAGGTCATATCAGAAGTCAGGAGCACATTTATTGTACACTGAAACAAGTGTACATGAAAGAAAACAGTAGAGGTACTTGATGTGTCACTCTTTTACAGAATTTCCAGAATAATCCAAACATTTCTGTTATCACTGCATGAGCTTAGAGGTGACTGTGGTAAAGTCCGTTTCAGTACCTTACAGATAGATGTGCGCACTGGTTTGTGTGTCATCATCTGTCAAGGCCTCAGATGGGTGGTAGTCTGCGGTGGCCAAGTCTGCACTGTGTGGTAGTTGCGGCAGCGTTTACCAGCCATTCATTCCAGTTGTCTCTAATGTCAAACGTGCGTTGTGAATTGTCATGTTGAAGAATGAGTCTCTTATTGGGTAATGGTCATGAAGTGCACATTGCAAGCACAAAAGACATCACTAAAACAATTATGTCTACAAACTTCCCCCCGACATTAACAATCTTTTAATGGTGCTTAACATAAAAATGTTAACATTAACTATTCTATGGAATACAAGTCTTGCACAATCTTGTGATTATAACCCAACACAGAACTTCTTAAAACATCCAAAGATAGCTGTCTTCTGGATTGTATTTACATACTGGTAATAAGTTTACCCCACTTTTCAAGCATTTATCTGACTGAAAGTGCTGGTGGGAAGGAAAGACACATGAGGTCTGCAGATTTCTCAACACGGGAAAACATGGTGATGAACACACACAACATTACCCCAGGAATATTTCAAACCACAATCAAGTGATCTGGGACCCCAGATTTTATGGATTTGTCAACGTACATAAGTTAAATTGAATGAAGGACATGATTAAAGGTAGGGACAGAGTTTCAGAACTCTGCAACACTTATGAATTGCTTTCATAAACGCTGGTGAAATTAATCAAACACATCCCATTAGAGGTATTCCACCACTTTATTACATTTCTTTAAAATAATACAAATATCCTTAGACATTTTCTGAATCGAAGAACAAGAACTTAAGCTGTAATTTTTATATCAGTATTTAAATGTCCCACATATAACTTCTGAGTAAAAGGTTAATTCACATTCGGTTATTTAAAGAATTTAATATGAACTTACAAAAAAAGAAACAACTCACTATTACTTTTGAAATCTAAGGTTACTGCTTCTTGGTAATTTATTCCACCACTCCTGATAACCTGTTCCACACACTTTCTAACCTTGGATTTTGTTAACAACTTTGGTTACCAAGGTAACATGTTCGGCTCTTGAGTCAAAGTAATTCCATCTTTGTCGATGTATTGCGCTATGAAATCAGTAATGTATATGTTAGTTGTTAAAATATTTAATTACAACGACTTGTAATCTACTGTCAAGTACAGAACCCAAAGTTATTTATAAATAATTATTTTTGTCTTCAATAACATTATTGATGTCATTTCCGCACGAACTGCGCGCAACTGTTGCGCAGAAAACGTTTCGTCAACCATAAATTTCCTGGTGTACAGATTCTGCTAGAAAGTGAAACGTAAGTAAACAATGTTAGTTGAATTTTAAGCTTTTACTCCGACACAGGTGTTCACAGAAAGTAATATCAGAACACGTACAAGAACCCAAAAGTGTGGAAGAATTTTGGAGTTGGTAATAAAATTTGTGAGATTGAGGAGATTTTGAGAAGTAGATACTTATTTTGTTCAGACAGTAATTTCTGATTGAAATATGAGGCTTATGAAAATCCATTTCCAAAAAAGGACCGTATATTAGGTAGCATTTAATTTAAAGAATACTAGTATGATTATGAAGAAGTTTTGAGAATATTGGGCGGAGGTCCAAAGCGGAAGTGTATGGAAGAATCTTCTAAATAACCAACATGGCAGTTGACAGACTCCTGAAATAATGGAATATGCCACTGTTTTTGCCTTTACGTCAGTTTTTGGAAACAGTTTTGTTGGCGAATTCACTGTAAAAGTTAATAATTATGCACTTGTTATCCGTCAACCGTCTGTTGTGAAATTGATAAGTATGTGTCAACTATACCTTTTGTTACCAGGGACAATGTTGAACAGAAAAAATGGCAACATTGATATTTTATTCAATTTTGTAAAGAGTTTATCTTTCAGTCATGAATTCTTATTATCACATAAGATGCCGTGGACTTTTAAAACATTATATACCAGATTTTTTCAATATATCAATTTCCTGTGTGTTAAAGATGGTCTCACACATGCATTATGGAAGTATGCCAATTGCGATTTTCTAACTGAAAGAACACTGTATAAACTGTATAGATCATTATACATTATGTAAACAGTTTATTAGCTTTGCCTTTAATGTAGAGGCCAGTTACATATGTTTCATTGTCAGTGTAGTAGTCATGTACCAAGAACACCACAAATTGAAATAAATTTAGCACAGTACTTTGTTAATTATGAGCTTTAAAGTATGAAGGTACCAGAATCTGGGATGATCAGTTTGGCATAGTTAAACTACAAAGGTGATGCTATTAAATATAATGAAGACGGCGTTGTAAATTGATTGATACTAATGTGATGAAGTTGGAAATGGGCACCCTGTTTTCTGGTTTTACTCATCATATTACTGTTCTTGAATCATTTTTCAAAAAAGGCATAGTAGGCACAGTAATTGATACAATTTTCCACAGGGTATGATACTGTTACAACATGTCATGCAGGTCATTGATATGTTCTTCATTACATTTGCTCATGCGTAGGTTCTCTGGGTTACATGACTGTTCAGCATATGGCAGCATTATTTTGCGAGAGCTAACTTTATTATAATTTGTGCATTGTCAAGTCTTTCTTGATGTGTAAAAATTAGATAACCAGCAGATATAATTCATGTTGTTTGTTTAATCTCCAATATTTTAAGCATATTTTTTGGTTGATCTTGGTACTTAATGCTACTATGTGGCCCATTTTTGTATGTGGTCTGTTATTTAATACATTGAGAAATTTCCCAACACTTTGTTTATTGTTTTTAATTGGGTACTGGAAATGCAGATTATAATATTTGAAGAATGAAGAACATTATTTGTACTATCAGAGGGGTTTAATCAAAATATATTATGAAAGTTGGCCATCTGTCAGTGCCTGAATATCTTAACAATACTTTTCTTTCTTACTCGCACTTTGTTTTGCAGAAGTATGTAGTTATATTAGTATTAACAGAATTTAAAATAAATATTTTTATGTTATCTTCTAGGTTGCATGTGGACTTATGGGTAGGGACTAGCATTTTTGAAGAACATGCTGTCTCAGTCTTCAGCCCTGAAGATGGAGGCAGTATGTTTCTCTGAAACATTGGTGCCTCTCTACAAGTCCACACAGAGCTACAATCTGGAAGATCAACATCAATTCCTTTCTCACTGTGAGAATCGTAAAGCTAAAATATTTTTGCTTGTTCTGTTACATGTCGTTTTAATTTGTTGTACATTATATTTGTGTTGGTTCTAGGTAGTACAAATAAAACATGAATTTTGGACATGTTTGGTGGTGGTTAATTTCAAGTGGGTGTGCTTTAAAGAGATTAAAGTACATTCTGAAAAGTTATTCCATGTCATGAAATGTATACATCATTTGTTTTTCTTTTACAATTAAACTTCATCTTTGATGCTTCTTGAAATGTTATATATTTTACAGTTTATTACCAAATTGTTTTCTATAGTTTTATTGAAGGAGATGAATATTTTTCTGTTCTTGTAAAGCGTTGTCCATACTCAAGGTGTTGAATGTAAAATTGTACCGCATTATAACACATTAGTTTAACTACAAGGCTTCTGGAAATGTTGAAACTATTAGATTGACTTGTGAATCAAAAGAAATACAAAATTTTCACATAGTATACTGAAGATAATTGACATTGGAATGTACAGTTTCAGAACTTACAAAAGCAAAGCATAAGTGATAACCATAATAGGACACTTAATACGTTATATGTTGTATGTCACAGAAGATGTCTTAAGATGTGTCCTTTGGTCTGGACAGAATATGTGTATCTTATGACATGGATGGATGTTGGTTGTGGTGAAGACAGTGCAGAAAATAATAGGTTTCCAGAAAATTTTGTTTAATGAGACAAGGTAGAAATGCATGTGTTTGATTTGGAAATAGTGACAGCACAAATGGAAAGAAATAAATCATCGGGAGGTGATGAAATATCTTGTCAACATGGTTAAAGGAGCAGAACCGTTTGGGACACAGTGGCTGTATTGGGTCTTGTGGAAACTTTGAATAGAAAACAGAATATCAGAGGACGTGTGTGAAAGTGTGTTGTGGCAAACATTAATAACTTACAAAAGGATACCGGTAAACAGAACGACATTGGAAATAAGAGGAAAATTGGCAGAACTGTATGCATTCAGAAGAGGATGTGGTGACTGCAGGTTTAATTTTTTGAATGAGGTAATTGATTGAGAACTGGGAATATGGAAAAGAGTTGGTTATGGTATTTATAAAGTATAAAAATGCATTTGGCAATTGCCCTGATGATGGAGACAGCAAGGACCTCTGAAACATCAGTAGACTTCTACAAGACTGCATGGCACAGCAACCCAGAAGAGATTTGTGACTGCAGAACAAAGGAGTTTATGTATCAATACTTCGTTTATGTATCAATACCTTGTCACATAAGCGATTGCATGTGATTCCTCGTGTATATTAAATTGTCACATAAGCGATTGCATGTGATTCATCGTTTTAAGTTCCACCACTGTTCGGGCCCACGCTTCTGTCGGCCCATTCGCAGGAAAGTTTACGTAGTCTTGGTTGAAGATGATACTTTTGATCCATATAGATTATGGTTTTGTGTTGAGATCTGATTGAATAATTAGGCATGTCTTATTTCATGTTACTTGATAAGTGTTTGACGCAGATGATGTCGCTGTGGGTTATTAGTGAGTACTTGGTAGTATACTTTATAAACTTGCTTCTGTGATAATGTGTGTTTTCCTGCTTGTAACAACAAAGTCTGTCTCCGTTCTTTGAATATATTTTAATATGTGTTGTGTTGTTGGGAAACAGGCTGTGATCAAGAGATAGGCTTTAATAGCAATAACATCTGTGATCGTCATGTCGGTATTGAATCAGAGTGGAGAGGAGCAGGTTGAATGCCCACTGTGCATGGAACCACTTGAGGTTGATGACCTCAATTTCTTTCCCTGCACATGTGGCTATCAGGTAAATATAAACTTGTGGCATTTCATCTAATGTAGTTGATTTCGTACTGTGGTATAATTTAATTTGTCGTGTTTTTGTGGCGTTGTTGGTCTCATAATTTACAAAGTTTTTGTACAGTTAAGGACATAAATAATTGGGCATGCATAAGATAAAAACAAACTGTAATTGACACTAGAACACAACTAAGTCTTGTCAGTTATTTCAGATTCTGTAACTGATAGAAATTGACGGTTAATGTTATTAAGGTTATCTGTGAGAAATTGCTTTACCAGGACATGTAAATTGGTGGGTGTCAGTGAGAGAATTAATTAAAGTTTTATGTGAGTTTATTTTATTTGTCAGTATTCTGTAATGAAATACAGGCTGTGTTATCAGGGTATCTGAAACTGTTAGAACTGCAGCAATATTCTTGTTTTCTGACTCGCAGATATGTCGTTTCTGCTGGCACCGAATCCGGACAGATGAAAATGGTCTGTGTCCCGCTTGTCGTAAGGCATATCCAGAGAACCCGGCAGATTTCAAGCCGCTATCCCAGGAGGAAGTGGCTCGTCTGAAGGCAGAAAAGAGGCACAAAGACCAACAAAGAAAGCAGAAGATCACGGAGAATCGTAAACATCTTGCCAATGTCCGCGTCGTGCAACGAAATCTTGTTTTTGTTGTTGGGCTTCCGATGAGGCTGGCAGATGCAGAGGTTTGTAGGTTGTTGAGTCCAGTAGCATAAGAGCAGCAGTATTCTGTCTTTGTGTGTGTGCGTGTTCACGTTTATGTATGCACTTGTGTATGTCAAAGTGAGATACAGAATTGGAAACTTGATCTTTTAATTTGCATGGCACGTTAGTACTTTAGTTTTAAAATATTTTGATCGCATCTCAATATAAACTGCATTAATTTAGAGAACGTTTATTTCCTTTGGTAGGTTCTGAAGAAACATGAGTACTTTGGCAAGTTTGGCAAGATACACAAAGTTGTCATCAACCAGAGCACCTCCTATGCTGGTTCTCAGGTACGTGTGTTAACATTTGTATCATGACATTTTTTGCTGGCGGTACCGAACAGAGCTCTTAAAATGATAACATTAATTTGCATATGACAGGTAAAAATGGCATGAGTGTTGTAGTTGGCAGATGACTATTAACTTCTTCATGCAGACATCACAGGACTTGTGACACGTATGTATGGTAACTTCTGGCGGTTAGGACGCGCGCTGTCTGTCTGAAGAATGCGATGTGTATGTATGGTAACTTCTGGTGGTTAGGATGCGCGCTGTCTGTCTGAAGAATGCGATGACATGAAAATAAGTTTACTTCGTTGTTTTGGACTCTCTGCATTCCCCAGCTATGCCACATATTCTGCATCTTTCTCAGTTAGAGATTCTAGCAAATGTTGGTCCTAACACTGCAACGCTTTAATCAGTGAAGAGATCAAATTAACAGTACTGAAAAGTCAAATCTACATCTGAGCATTTACAAGATTGTACCGACAGTTTTTTTTAGTAGGTGTTACACAAGTAGCTTTCTTGCAGGATGGTACCTTCATATGTAGATCGCAATATTTTTCAATATGAGCACGTCATAACATGACAGAGCGATGAAAGATCTTGTGTGACTTGCAAAAGGACTTGAGTGTGCTTCAAACCGATGTCTTTATATGGTAGTAATTGTACTCATCATTGCAGGGACCGAGCGCAAGTGCTTACGTAACATATCACAAGGCGGATGATGCGTTGCGAGCGATACAGGCAGTGAATAATATCTCAGTTGATGGGCGGACTGTTAAAACCTCTCTGGGAACAACAAAATATTGCTCTCATTTCATGAAGAACCAGCCATGCCCCAAGCCAGACTGCATGTACTTACATGACCTGGGTGAGTGTTGTGTACCTTAGAAAACTTTTGATTTAAGTAAGACGTTCGCAGACGGTTGCTTGCTTTCGAACCATAATAGAGCGAAGGCAGTACAAAAGCAGTCATACTCTTTTGCTCTTGGCTTGTAAAATTACCTTTCTTCAAGGAGATCCAAGCTCATAGTCCAGTCTTTATGTGTGGAATTTGTCGTTCTGGTGGCATAAGGTCGATCTATACAATTTTTAATAATATGGCATAGCAGGACAATGTATTCCCATTAAACTATTTAGTGGGACATACATGTATCCCATATGTAAAGGGTTAACTGTATTAAATTTTACATCATCAGCAAAGTATTTGAGTTGCAGAGTACTGCATTATTATGTACGTTGGCCACATCTTTTATGCCAACATTTCAATCCAGACACTGGAGTGTGGTCTGGCATTCATGCTTAATACAAAGTGTTGCTGTGTTGTAGGAGATACAGAGGCAAGTTTTACGAAGGAGGAGATGCAGCAAGGTAAACACCAAGAATATGAGAAGAAATTGCATGAACAGCTGCTCAATACGTATAACCACAGTTCTGTAAGCAGAGATAGGTAAGCTAAACCCTTGATGGGGCTTGATTGTCTTGTAATTTGGGGGTGCTGTATTAACCTGAGTCATCAGTACTCTTGCCTGTACTCAAGTACAGGTCTGCCAGTCTGTAGGCCTGTATAGTACAATCTATCGAATGTCAGAGATGTTGCCTCCTGCCCAGGACCATCATCAAAGATGCACGCACAAGTAATCGGGAGTTTGCTGTACAGTGGTTTTTCCAGATATTTGTGGCCATGAAATGAACTAATGTGTTGTGAATCTGAGATTTAATACAAAAGGTTCCACTGTGTGATTCTAAGACTATGCTGTGAATACGGATAGAGTAATTTGATAAATTTTTAATAAGACAATTTTTCTTCCAGGACACAATTGTGAAAGATACATATATGGAGTGTCCCATAAATATGCAATATTAGGTTAATATTTTGAGTTATAATGTGTATATATATCTTTGGGACATTATGTATATCTTATAGATACATAAATGAATGTCTTGTAAAAATTGAAATATTTTATGCTCATCATTTCTTCGTCATCAAATAGCGTTTATATGTTTTATGGTGATAACTAGGATGTTCGCTTTTCAGTTATAATTGCTTTAAAATGTATAAAGCTAGTGCACTCTTTCAGTTATGTTTTTACTACTTTTACAATTTTATTTCCTACAGAAGTTTTTACCCGAGTGAAGAATACATTACAATATTAGGAAGGGATCAGCTTTCCGAAGCACGTTTGGGATTTTTGCAAGCCATTATCAGGGTTGAAACTGGTGTTTAAAATGTTATTAAAAGCTTACACAATTGTTTAAATTAATTCTGTAAGCTTATTTCAACAGATTTTCTGCCACATTCTAGCTGCCATTGGATTGTAAGTTGTTAAAACTCCTGCCTGTTGTTTTTAACCTTTTATATCCTTAACGAACCTCACATTACAGCCATGCTGTTATATGTATATGTTCATTTTGTGTTCTGCTCCTGATGACCTTCCCAGTTCTTCGCTTGTTTTGTTATTATTATTAATGTTATCAGCAGCAGTTATGTATTACAGACGTAATTAATTATTTTATGTTTTAGGAAACCAACGCCATCGCCTCCAGCTGTTGCTTCCAGTATTTCGAGCTGTCAGAATGTGTATCAGGGAAGTGGCCCTAGTGCAAGTTGTAGTGGTACCAGTTCAGGCTCAAATTCCACAACTTGTGTTCAGGGCAGTCAGTCTTGTAATAAGGAAGCGTGGCCTTCGCTGCAAACAGGTCTGACAGCTAATAGCAACAGTAATGGTTAGTATAGCGTAAATGAAGTTTTGCTTTGTTAATGTTTACAAGTACATTGAATATCCATTCGCATTTTATCTGTTTACACACAAGGATAATAATTATTAATATTTCTAAATCTAGGTTTATATACCATTTGTCATTGGCTTCTTATCATGGACTGCATCAGAGTGTGTTTAATAGATTAGGTTGATGCGAGGTCGTAGTTTAAAATTAATACCGCTTACAAAATCTGCGAGCGAAGATTACTGCTATCAGTTGAACTTTCAACCATGCGTATGCGTGCACACAATACAGATATTTTAATTTGCAGGGTGTTTATTCTTTTGAAGTTTCCTTATTTGGAAAGTGATATCCTCTATTTGTTTTAATGTTTGTAGGTAATAATTTTGGTTTATCACCGGGTGGAAGTGGAAATACCAGCTACAGTAACAGCAATAATAGTTCAAAAGTTGAAGTTAGTCAAAGAAGGCAAAGGTTTGATCAGCAGCCAACAAAAGTTACTAATAATATTCACAAGAAGAGGCATTCGTCAGGAGAAGAGAATAAAGGGTAAGAGGTTTAAACTTTAAGAGGTACATAATTACTTTTCATCATAATCACCTCTGTGGCCAGTCCATATGCTTCATCCAGTTTTCAGATAGTTTGATGGTTCTCGTGACAGAACTGTGCATCTTGTTGTTTTAACGACATCACCACTCTGTGGACTTCGTCATCTAACAAGAAGTGATATCCTGTCAGGTCTTCCTTCAGTTTTCAGAGGAGATGGAAGTTAGATTAAGCCAAGTCTCAGTTGTATGGTGGGCGCTCAAAGATGGTGAAATCGTGGTGGTGCTCATATGAGACCTTGCATTATTGTGTTAGGTCAACACTTTCAATACATGCCTTCAGTTTTTGCAGCATTGCGACATAGCACTCAGAATTTAAGGTGACACCAGTAGACATGAATTCCAAAAAAACTGAATGAGGCTTCGGTATTAGGCGTGGTCTTTGAACGTCTCTGGCGCTGGTGATCCTTTCCGATGGTATTTAGTTGACTGTCTCTTCTTTTCAGACTGAAAATGGTATCCCCTGCTTTGATCCATGTTGATAGTCTTGGGCGAAATTCATTGGCTTTACGTTTACATTGCAACTGTTAGCAAAAGACCATCCACTCCTGTTTCATTTGCTCTGAATATTCATGGAACCCATCATGTACACATTTTTTGATGTCTGAGTGAAAATGTTGAGTCTAAGTTGTAGGCAGAATTCAAGTTGGAGTAAGAAATGTCATTGCTCACACGTCCTGGTATAAAGTTGAATAAATGGCG